ATGGTTGGTTTCTGGGCTGCAAGTGCACACTGAAGCCAGCTTATGTTAAGTTTCTCATCAACCAACACCCCCAAGTCCTTGCAGGGCTGCTCTGAATCTCTTCTCTGCCCAACCTGTAGCTGTGCCTGGGATTGCCCCAACCCAGGTGCAGGACCTTGCACTTCACTATGTTGAGTTTTTTCTCTTCTCCCTTAGGCTGCTCTGTGTAAGTCTGTCTTCATTGCATGGTCATTTCAAGCAACAGGACTGTCTTTAATTGTGTGCAGAAACCTGTACATTCCATCAAGGACTACACAAAAAAACCAATTCCCATAGAGATGGATGGGGACATGCACAAAATGTTTCACACACTGGCATCTGAAGGCTTCCTGGATGCTGCCTACCACCCACTGCTGGCATGTGAACTCCTGGCATCTGTCGTGTTCCCATCAGACCCAAGTGAGCTGCCTTTGCCTGTTTTGATTCAGAAGGTGCTTTCTTTGTTGGCTTTTGGGGTTAAACAAGAGCAGCAATTACCTCCTTTGTGTGGGGAACGGTTGTTAGGGCAACTGGGAGGAATTTCTTGGCACCAACACTAGTGCAAGAAAGGAATGAGCAGAAAAATGCTCAGCCAGAGCAGAGTCAGGAGCAGAGCAGGCAGAGGAAGCCAAGGGGACGTGCTCTGCTGTGTTTGTGTTAGCTCCTCACCCTGGCTCTTCCACGGGCAGCAGAGGGGCACTGCACAGCCAAAGTGCTCTGGAAAGGCAAAGCCCACACACCCTTCACCAACCTCTGTACACATCTGTGCAGTCCCCAGCAGCACTGGCTGTCCCTGGGGCTCATCCTCCTGAGCTACAAAGGTGCTACAAAGGGGAATAGAGTTCTGAGTTTTTACTCTATTGCTGCTTCTGTGATTGAACACTCCTCAAAACATATAGACAGGAATTTTCTTTTGTAATACTTGACACAGTATTACAAGAGAAATACTTGCAGTAATGAAGGCAACTTGGAAAATTAAGTTGCGCTGGTGATTTTCAAATGGAAACAATCCTATTTTGAGGTAGTTTTCACTGTCAAACATGGTTCAAAGGCACAAGAAGAAAGGGCAGGGTGAGCAGTGAGTTGCTAGGTAGGTGAGTACAATTTTTTTAAGCTTTAGTGACTATTTTTGCATTACAGATGCTCTGCTTGCTCAAAACTTCTGCCTTCCCCATCTGCTCATTTCCGTCAGCTCACAACTCTTTCATAAACAGACAATAACTTTTTGTTTGGATTGGCTTGTTGGCAAATTTACACAGCTCTTCATGTAATGATCTGATTTCAGGTGATGGTGAGTTGATTAGTATATGTAAGGGCATAGATTGTGAGGGCATTCAGCTGCTTCTATCCATGTAAGTAGTGGTAAACAGGAAGAAAAAAAAGGGAGTAGCAGCGGAAGAAGCATGAGGTAGTGTTTGGTCCCTGGACTTGTTTGCATACTGGCTTAAAATCTTCAGGATGAAACTAGTGTAGTTTGCACAATGAGTTTGCAAGCCTGTCTGCAAACATAGCAGATGCTGGGACAAATGACTGGTCTAAGACACTGGAAAGCAGGGCAAAGTGTTAATAACGGGTGTAAAGCTAGAAGACTTGTAAGTAAGGGGGTAATGTCCAGACCTCGAAAGCATACTGCTGCATGAGTTTGATGACTTTTTTTATGCACTTAAAGAAAACACTTAAAGAAAACAAAGAACACTGCAGTTTGCTTAACTGGGTCCTCATCAGAGCTAAAGTTCTACGTGGTATTGTTTATGGATTGGATTGGAGAAAGTTATCCAAACAAGTAATACAAACTTTGGGACAAAATTCCCAATGGGCTGTGCTGTTCTTTATAGGCTTGAAAAGTTCTATTAGAAGTGAAAGCCATGGAGTAAGTGAAATTGCTGAGCAGTTGAGAACCTGAATTCTATAAGCCGTCATGTTCCAAAGCAGTCAGTTCATGATCTGAAATTTTCCAGGCATAGGGCCAGACTACAAATCTACAGATGGGAAGGGGGTCTGCCTCTGCACCCTGGAAGACTTGAGTCATCCTCAATCTAAATTAAGGTATCCTTTAGACTGCCTTCATTCAGCCTAACACAGAACTGCCGCAGCTTAATGGGTGGTAAAAGCTTCTTGAAGTATGTCTAAGGCTACCAGCAGCTTTTTGTCATGCATTAAGTATTTTGGGAGTTTGAAAAAGGTTGAGAAAAAACCTGCTTGTGATTTCTTTCGTAACTTGCCTTACACTGGTTGAGTATGTATCGGGGCAACTCCCAAGGTCACTGATTCAAGCTTAGAAAGTCACAAAGGCAGAGTCAAAAAAGCTGAGCATTCTGGTATTGTCTTCATTTTGTCTTAACTGAAAATTGATTTGGACCAAATGCTCAGAAATGCACAGACCAAACCTGATTATGGTGCATGATATTCTGCTAGAGGTTTCTGCCCACTCTTGCTGGCTGATGGCTGTGCTGGGTGTATCGGCGGGAAGAGGGACTCTCTGAAAGCTTAGAGGAGGCCTATGGATGACTGTATTTTGTGGGGTACCACAGTACCTACGATACAAACAAACAGGATCAGGGTCCAAATCAAATTCTAACTACCTTAATATGGTGATGGGCAGAGTTTCTATTGACAGTCTTAGTGCATTTGGAATTTACTTGCCGAAAAGAAATATTACCTGAGATGCAAAAATGGCCTCTTGAGGGGCAGGGGTGTGATACAGTGAGGCTTGAGACACCCTGTGCATCATCTTGTGCCCCTTTTATGAAGTTTTACGTGCTCTTGAGGATATCACTATCACTGAGCTATATGTAAGATTGTGCCTTGCAGAGCTCACTGGTGCTGTCAAACATCTGTGTGTCTCCGGTATACAGTAGTAAAGTGCATGAATCACAGATAAGCTTACTCACATACGTAACGTGTGTTAAGGGAGGGACAGGAAGTGTAGCGAAGATGAATCTGTTCATATTTAAAGTGGCTCAGTTTAACAGCATCTCACCAAAAAAAAAAGGATATTGGACTGCAGTGTCTGCCTCCTGCTCCACTGGCCTGTGAGTGCTAACTGCTCTGGTCTGTATGAAGGCTGTGCAGAGCTGCCCTGGGCTTTGCTGTGGGTTTCAGTTTCTCTAGACCTTTCCTGGCCCATATATATTGATGTATTAAAATCTGGCCCTGCACTGGCCCCTGTTGTGCCCCTTCACAGCCTTTTTAGTTCATGCTGGTAAGAATGACCACTTGTTTTTTTTCCCATTTTCTGTCTGGTTTGGTCTTTGCTCCCTTCTGTGACCTACAGCTGTTTGCTGTAACTCTGAGATTTTCTGTCTAGAAGGGCTGCTTTGTCCTTGGAGTCCTTAAGAAAGCTGACCTCTGTGGCAGGCTGACCCAATTAAATCCCAGCACAGCGATAGCCATCCAGACACAGACTTGGATCCAGCAAAAGCAAATCCACCCTGCTTATTAATCCACCTTACCCTGAGGAGGATTGAAGGACCACTCATGAGCTCTCCTTGCTGTATGCTGCTGCTGACCCTGTCTCTCAAACATGGCTAGAAATCAAGCTAGTGCAGACTCTAGCAGCATGCTTATTATGCCAAGAGCAAGGCCTTCTCCTTCACAACTTGCCCTCACCATATGATGGATATGTTTGAGGCAGGAGCAGCTGGCACAACTCGTTCTCTTGGGAATAGTCAGGGCAGCTTCCCAGGCCATCAGGGACCCTGCTCACTTAAGTGAAATAGCAGTGTGTGGGTGGGAAATGAGAGAGGCCCATACTTTGGTGTTTACCCAGCATCCCATGTGGGTCTGTAAATGTGAGAGGGGACAGAGCTCCTATATAGCAAGGGTTAAGATATAACTGGTGGGAACATTTCCATCAGGGCAGCTTTCCATTTAAAATAAATAAATAAATGCTGTCATGGGTGGATTCTGACAAAAGTCTAGACAGGAAAATATGGCTACAACCATAAGATATTTCAGCTGATTTCACAGACACATTTCTCCAAATTAAAGTATTGAGAGCTGTCCCTCTCTCTTTAAAACAAATACAAAAAGGGAAAAAAAACCCAAAACATTTCACACTCTACTCCTGAGCCTGAACATGTCACAGCAGATAGTGCAAGCCCTGTGACAACTTTGCAGTGGTTGGCATTGCTGAGAGTTATTAGCCTTAAATGTGCTGGGCCTGTGCTAGCCTAGAGATGCTTCTTGACTCATGCCACGCAAGTCTAGGTGTGGGATGGGGGGAACCTCCCTAGTCGCTGTATAGTCTGCTGCTTTACTGAGCTTTACTGTAAGGTGTAGGTAGGAAGGACATAGTATGGTGTGGGGTGTGGCTGTGTGTGTGGTGTGTGGGTTTTGTTTTGGGGGTGGTTAATAAGCTTTTTTGAAGGAAGGGTGGTAGAGGAGGGCTTGTTAAGTTCTAGAGTTCTGGTTTGGTTTTCTATATTGGTAGAGATAGCAAGGATTGGTAATAATGGGTGAGCAGCTTATTCTGTAGTAGCAGAACTCACCATGTCCCAGTGTGGTTTTATACTGAGAAATTACCTCTTTGCAATTTGCATGTTGTATCTGTGCCAGAGGTCAGAATGTTAGGAGGGAAGGGTGTGTGTGGGGAGAAGCAGTGGAAAAATTACAATGAGCTTTAGTCAACCGGGTGAATGTAGGGCTCCTCACAAGGGAAGCCTCGTTTATTAAGCAACTTGAGCTCTCCCTGTGAAAAACAGGTTGAGCCATGTCTGAGGGCGTTGCCTCATAGAATTTGTAGATAAGGATGGTTTATACCGGCGTGTTCCCAGCACAGAGAGGCCAGTTACATTCTGCAGCTTCCAGAGGAAATAACCCTCCTGAGGAGTACAGTTATTCCAGTTTGCTTGTGGTAAGTTTATTGAAAAGAGCTTTTGTTTCTTCCTCTTCTCCCTCCACCCCCTTCAAATCCCAGATTCCCTAACCGTGAGGTGTGATACGTGTGGTTTTTCTTCATCAACAGACCCAGACTGAGACTGCAATGGCATGGTGGAAGGCCTGGGTAAGTAGATGAAATATTAAAGTAAGACACCCTGATTTTTTTGGCACCATAATAAGGTAACTTGTAAGTTGCATTAGGCACTGTGTGGGAGTTAAATGTTTCTCTTTAAAAATCAGCAAGACGTATTTACTGGGTTTCTCACCGTAAAATAGCATTCAGGACTTCAAAAATCTTGATTAAGGAAGATGTTACTATGATTGCTGGCTATAAGAAGAGACCAGACTCTCCCCAATCCTTCAGTCGAGAGTGGTGCAGAGGTGTGTTCGTGTGCCTGTGTATATGGGGAGATGGTACTGGGGAACAGCAAAGTTCCACAGGCAAGGTCTGCAAGCTGCAGGCTCCTTGTCTCTTGCGGCACTGAGATCAGGGCACTGGCCTGTCCCCAGTTGCACTGGCAGGCTGTAGCCACAGAAGGAGATGTGGTCAAGCCAGAGTGTCTGTTTCCTTGGTGGGTTTTTAATACTGCAGTGACAATGTAGACTTGAACACCCTGTCAGTCTGCTAGGGGCCAGAAATGCTATGTATGTTTTCTTCTAAACCCTTGTGGCTTTGGGAGGAATGTGGCAGGACAGAGGGATGCTCATGGGGTATGCTGAGGCAGCCTCTAGGGTACAGCTCGGGCCAGGCGCTAGGCTGCTCTGGTGATGTGCACAGCTCTGCTGCCAGCTATGGAAGCTCTCCCATTAGTCCCCATGGAAGGTCAGGTTTATCCCCAGACTTTATTGCCAGATAGCTATAAGCTAAAACCTAGAAGACATCTGCTGGAGACTTGCAGTGGAAGAATACTGGTAGAGAAGTCCTTTCCCAAGTAGTCCTTGCCCCTGCCCAGCACCACTGCCAGTAGCTCACAGGCTTTCTCTGGACTGCTTTTGTCTTGTTTGTGGAAAGATTTGTCCCAGAGTCCCCCAGCTTCTTGTTGTGAAGATGGCTTCATGTTCAGCAGCCTGTGCAAGGGGTGAGCCTGCACCAAGGCTCTGGTGCTGCTGCTTTTCTCCCAGCTGGGGCACAGGCAGTCCTGGTGCTGGTGGTTGACAAGGGGGCAAGGTGCCTCTGCTGCCACTTGCCAGCAAAGGTACCCATGAGGCATAGGAGAGCTGTATTGCAGTGTACTGTATTACCTCTGGTGCAATACATCACCAAGAAGAGAGAAACCACTTTGCATGGACTTGACCATTTTCATGTTCTCAGTTAGTTTTGCAGCTATGAGGTGGGAACTCAAGAAAAAACTAAACCAAAACCAAAACTCTTTGTGGGGTGGGGAATACCAGGCTAATTCCTACTTTCCTCCAGTAGGCTTCAGATAGGGAACTTTCCTGATCTCAAAACACACAATGAATTTTCAGGCCCCCCCCCAAAAGATTAAAGTTGTAATCTTCCTTTCTTCTCATTTCCCTCTGCCTCCCTGTTTCCTTCTGGAAGTTTAGTATAGTAGAATGAACTTGATTCCTAAGTTTGGAGTAGCTCTCACTTCAATTTTCCCCCTTTCTGCTGATCTCTGCTATGCCCAAAGCTGCAAATCAGTTGAAAACTCAGAGTGAGAAAAGGTCTTGAAAGCTCCAGTGATCTCTTACCTGTCAGTCTTGTAGGGGGTAGAAGCGTGAGAGAAAGGTGAGAGGGTAAAGGAAGGATGTTAAATTGTTTTCATTTTCTAAACCCTTCATAAAAAATACAGTTCAAAAGCAAAAAGAATGAAAAAATGTGAAACTTTTTCAGGAAACAAAAAAAACCAAACAACCCAAGTAATGTACTCCCACCTGTCCCCAAATTGCAGCTTTTCAATAAACTGCTGTTTAGTTTTAGAAATATTTTAGTAGGAAAACTTAATCCCTCTCTCCTTCATTTATTGGTAAAACTTTTCAGAGCATCATGCCTGAAGTATGCGGATTCCATTGCTTTCGTGTGAATTATTCATCTTCATACAAAAGCTACAGAGATGCCTTGAGTAATTTCAGTTAGGTAATTGTAGGATCGGTTCATCTGGGAAACAAGACCAAACTGAACAGGGTTTCTCTGGAAACCTTTTGTGATTGTGCCTGTGCTGAAACAATTATGTAGACAGATAATGAGGTCTTATGATCGAGTCGTGAGTGTGCCACTTGAGCCTTGATGGGCTGTCAATGTTTATTTGACTTAGTGTCAAAGATTGCCATTGTACAGTTTGTTCTGCTGCCTTAAAATGAAAGCTCAGCATTGCACTTGTTCTTTCACTGAATAGTGTCCAGAGTGTTTCACATGGTCCTTACATGCAGCTACAGAGGATTGTCCATCTTTTTCAAAGCAAAATCAGATGTCTGAGTGTAACTAACTTGCTTTTGTGGGTAGTTGTGATGGTGCTGGCTGACTTCGCAAAGAACCAGAGAAGGAGCTCAGTCAAACTCTGTTCCAGGGTGATGACAAACTGTTGGGGGTGGCAATGCTTTAGTCACTGCTCTTTCTGCAGTGACAGCTTCACTACAGCCTGAAACTTGCTGCTCAGTAATCACTGGGGTTCAAAGCTGCATCTATTGAGAAGTTTCCCGTTGACACCCTCCACTTCACAGCTGTTGTCTCTGCTGGGAGCAAGGTGTGGTAGCACAGGATTCTGTTTATGTGCTAGCTGTAAAGCAAACTTCTCCATATCTTGCTGATTGGTGAACATACCGCCTCTCTCAACAATCATCATTGCTCTTTGGTTTCTTGTCACTGCTTCCAGAGCTTGGCTAGCAAAGAGACCAGCATGCAAACATGTGTCAGCTATGTCTACTGGTAAAGCACTGGACAAGGACACCTGAGCTAATTTGCCCACAGCCAGCCTGAGCATCTGTGCAGCACAGTGTGGGTATGCTTCAGCTGCAGCACTAAGCTAGAGCTGGCAGTTGTTGACAGACGCTCCTGAGCACACAGCCATTAATCTTCCAGCCTCTCATTAAAAGCCAGAAATGCATGTCCTGAAGGAAATTTCCGCAAGCTTTTCTACCTGTCAAGGGCCACTTGCAGGCTTTTTACCCTGGGGAGGCTTTTTATCTCTGGGGAGGACGTAGATGATCTGGCTCTAGGAGATAGGGATAGAGCCCTCTTTCACACAGGAAAGAGCAGAAGGGATTTGCATCATAGCAGGAGGCTGCTGCGTGGCACTTGCTGGTCTGTGTTATGAAAGTCAGATGGGACAACCATAGTGATTCCTTCTGGTCTGTAAGCTCCGATTTGAAGGTACTTCACTGACTGTGAAGCCACCCCCATTAAAAAATCCATCAGATCATACTGATATCATAAGTACAGTATTAATCCTATCTCTGCAACTATGTTTATGAGAATATAGTAATTTCCTGGAGCAACTTAAATCTCTTTGCTGCTAAGAAAGGGAAAATCATGTCCATTATTGGAATAAAGTGGTGATGAGTCTATGCCTAATCACTCATATACTCCCCGGTTGATAGGACCATAATGTTATAGATGCGTAAATATATTCAAGCCAGGCCCTTGACTAACAGTTTATGCTAAACTGAAACTCTTAAACCTGAGTTCTGTTTAATGGCCCTACTACCTTGTGGTGATTGGAATAAATCTCAGCTCATCTTTCTGTCTGGAAGTCTAGCACTGGCAGCACCTTAGGAAGTCTAGCACTGCCAGCACCTTAGGATTCCTGTGTAGCTGGCCCTTGGTTCAGGTGAGAACATCAAACCTGCACTCCTGCTGATGGATCTCTTCCTTCATAGTCTCTTGGCCCAAATCTTTTCAGAGGAGATGCTTCTTTCTTGAAACCAGCTGTGCAGCAGCAGCAGAATAAAGCTGCGACTTAGAAAATGGTGTTTGAGCAGCAGACTGTCTGCACATAATGACTGTCACAGGAGTGTCACTATTAGTGATTTGCACTTCATGTTTCTGCCAGGAGCCAAAGGCTGGTACAGGCAGATGGAGGCAGGGAACTTGTGTTCTCTTTGGAGTTCTGCTCTGCTGAGAGATTTTGAACCAATCCTTCTACTTTTATGTTCCCTCCCCATGTACAAGTAATGAATGTTATTAACATCCTTCCAAAATACTTTTTCTTCAGCTAATGAAAAGCAGTGATGAAAAGTCCTGTGTTTCTCTTCTTCTTTCAGAGTGAAGCAGAGGGCAGGTCTGTGGCAGGTGCTTTAAACTTTGACCCCACACCTGATGCTCAGACTCTGTACAAGGCCATGAAAGGGCTTGGTGAGTTGACTCCAAATTCATGTGTAAATTCTGTGTTCTGCTTTAATTGCCAAGTTGAAAGCCATTCCTTAAGAAAATTGCAGCCAGAGATATCACTGTTAATGTGGAAAATTAAAAATTAAATTTTCTTCAGTATACTCTTAAAATTCTACATGAAGGCAATGAACTAGGAAAGGTTGTCTGAATATTTGAATTGGGATTTTTTTGACTAGTCTCAACTTATTCTGTGCACTGTGTTTATGGCTTATTATTGCTCTCTACAGGGACTGATGAACAAGCTATAATTGATGTCCTAACCAAGAGGAGCAATGTGCAGCGTCAAGAGATTGCCAAATCCTTCAAAGCACAGTTTGGAAAGGTTCTTCCAAACTAAAACCATATTCAGTCACTGTTTCAGTGCATGCAGTAGATAAATGTAGTAATTGGGTATACAGTTCATCCTGGAAGCATGATGTAAAACGATATGCAGGTCTTCTGCAAATAAGTGGATGAATATTTATTTATAAGGCCTGGGGTGAATGGGTGAAATTAATTTTTGGTTGGAAAACCTGGTTTTCCCTCAAAGATTGTAATTTTTTTGTAAAATCCATTTTTATGAGAAATATTTTTTTAAAATTATTTTTTCTTTATTATTTTAACTTAAAGTCTAACTTCTTTTTGAAGCTGTAACAAAAATAGATACTTTTCTAAGTGGCATTTTGAGTAAAATATTGGTTTAGTTTGGTGCCCTTTTAAATGCCAAAGAAAGTTCAATTTAAAGACTTAATTACATTTCTTTGGAAATTCTGAAAATGGAATCAAACTGCAGTTATTGGCAACCATGCTTTCCTGGGCTATCTTTCTGTCTTTGATAAAATCTTCCTTTCTTTGGAAAAACTTTTCTACCAGCAAGCTCTGCCACCAGCCCTACTCTGGAGTCTCCAATGACTCTTACTGGAAAGGAGACTGCCATGCAAGGGCCTCAGAAAGGGAAGAAAGTGTGGGGGTGGCAAGTATGGGACAATGAATAGAGAGTGCTTGCACCCCGCTGAAACAGTGTGAGTCATACCATAACAAAAACGTATTACAGGGAAAAGGAATTTTGAAGTCTGCCTTCAGACAGACTGCATGCCTCATTCTGCAGAAGTCCTGGGTGCATGTATATATGCAGGCTTTGGGAGTCAGCCCTGTGTGAAGTTATATCCCTTGCTCAACTTGCCTTCAACTGCCTGGTTCTGTTCACTGAGTAAAACAGGGTGGAAGAAGATTTTAATCTTCCCTACTCTGCTGCAAAATTAATTAATACCTGGGAGATGCTTGAGTACTGAGACAACAGGGAAGGTGTAAGCACCTAGGCAAATCTCGTTTTGGAAATAGGTGCCTTTTCCAGTCCCAGAACCTTTTCTAATGAACTATCAACACTATACTGTCATTCAGCTTCATTACTGTAGGCCGTGGGGATGGAAACAGCATTGAGCAACAAGAAGATCCCATGAGGCTTTTTATGTAACTGTGTGATGCATATTTAACAGGATCTGATTGATAGCCTGAAGTCTGAACTGAGTGGCAACTTTGAAAGACTCATTGTAGCTCTCATGTATTCCCCATTCAAGTATGATGCCAAGGAGCTCTATGATGCCATGAAGGTAAGCGAATTGCATGCTGATGTTTAAGTAGTAGCACAGATGCAGTGCTAATTTCTTGTAACTGTGCTTATTAATGCAAGTGGCAATAACTAGACTGTTACATGACAAAGTGTGTTATTAGCAGTAGCTTTTGAGAAATAGTTAATTGTACTGTCAATGCATATTCGAGGGGGGGGGAATGCTGCTTTAATATCTGGACTGCATGAGAGTTTCTGTACATACATTTCTCATAGAGCCTGGGAAAGGCAAAAGCAAAACTAAACTCAGTTTTGGCAATGAATGAGCATCCACAGATTGCCAGATTTTAAACCTTGTTGTCACACCCGAGCCATGAAACCTTTGAGAAATCAAGGAGTGGTGGTGTGAGGGCCAGGCTGGCCTTGGCTAAGATCCTATTTATCGATACAGTATCTTTTCAAATTTCAGATGCAGAGAGGTCTATTAAAATGGTACAAAGATGGACTGACTAGGCAAGTGTTGGTCTCCCTGTATCCCTCTAACAGTGTCATCAAAGATCCAAATCCAGAAATGCATTGCAGGAGTGAAAGATTAGATGAAATCATCCTCCATGAGTTAGGCATGTCAGTAGAAGAAACCATGTTCAGACCAAATGTCTTTGTGTCTCTGGGTTTCATCATGACGGTTTCTCACAGCTTAACACTTTGCTGTGTTAGGCTGTGTGCTCTTGACTCCTCACTTGACCATACATCTCTAGCAGTAAATTTCACTCTATGACTAGATGCCTTCCTCCAACTTTATTTCTCCACTATGTTTTCTATTAAAGGGTGTGGGAACAAGTGAAGATGTTATCACAGAGATCCTGGCATCCCGGACAAAAGCACAGATCAGAGAGATAATCAAGGCATACAAAGAAGGTAAAGTGCCTGGGGCCTGATCTGTGTGGTCAGAAC